TGGCCTCGCCCCCTTTGCTGCGTGTTCCCGGAGGCGGGGTTTATGTAAAATTCTGGGTTCTTGACGTAACGGACCCGGGAAGTAACTCGTTGTAGTCCCTACCAGCCGTTTTTGTAGGCATTAAACTGCCAGAATTTTAAAAGACGTTTGCATTGAACTTTCAGCGTCGTAGCTTTGCAGATATTGTTTATGCTCAAACAGCAACATTACACACTAACTAACATTAAAAAAGTGAAATCGCAATGAACCACCCCTTTAAATAGTCATAAAATCCTCTCAACTCTTATACGTTTCACTGTTAATATTCCAGGTCAGTGTTAACACCTCAGAGCAGATGATGAACAGCATGGATATGGTTTTAGGCTGTGAGAGAGATTTCTGTAAACCCTTCAGTTCATTCACAGTGTTGTAAAGCATTTGCATTAGGCTCAAGAGTGACTTTCATCTTGGCACTTTGCACACACAGACACACTAGTCTACACACTTTATCTGCTGATTCATTACATTAATAACCTCATGCTTGGAGAGTTTGGTTTCAAATATAGGTTAATGGTATCAAAAGATTAAATGTAAAAAATAAGATAACACTTTATAATGACTTAATAATCATTAATAAAGAATATATAATGCATAATAATGCATCTTAAATTCATTTACATTCAAACTTTGATATTTTTACTTGTAGGCCAATTTATATTTAAAGCTGAAGAATGTAAAGTTTTAACACAGTGTTATGAAAAGAGCGAGCCTAGTCCTACTGTACACTACAATACTGACTCGACCAATGGCGTGAGTTGGGGGCGGGGTTTATCTGTTTTGTTTAGTTTTTTTTCCGTAAAGCGTCACTTTTAGAGTTTGCTAGGTGGCGCTAGTGACGTCTATATTAGTCTACATACTTCAGCTTTAAAAATACACAAAAAATAATGCTTATTTAAACATCATATAGCATAATAATATTATTAGGTGATGTACAATCAAATATTTGGAACTGACATGAAACTTTGATTTGTGTTCCAGTTTATTTAAATGCATATGATTTACTGAAATCTGAAGGGAGGTACTACAGGTGAATTTTTACTTGCAAAAAAAATGGAACTGCTGTAATAAAATACATAAGAACAAATCGTTATAAAAAACTACAAAACGTAAAAAATAAATAAATAAAAACATAATAATAAAAAATGGAAAAAATAAAATCGGCAAATTAAATATAATTAAATATGTACATATTTGCATATTAGCTATATATAGCAAAAGTGAGACCCAACAGAAAAGATCACATTTTTATTTAATGTGATCAGCAACTTAAAGGTTGGTGATTGTCAGCTCCTTTTGTCAAAAGCTTAATTATTTAACAGAATATTTAATAAAACACTTTTGCTCTTCTAAGATAAAATGGCCCAAGGAAAGAAAGATAAAAAAAAAAAAATAACCCGCATAAATATCACTTAACAAGAAAATGATATTAAGGGTCTCTGTAACACGCTACTATTAAAGCTACGCTGTATGCAGTGCCCATCCTGGAGGTGCCAGAGTGGAACACGTACATGCAATGGTAAAACCCCTGTTTGTGCACCACCAAGCGCCTGGAGGTCTCCACAAGCAGGTACCAAGGAAACGAGAAGACCACCGCGGAGAACCAAACGGCCGCCAGGAGCTGGATCGCTCTCTTGCGGCCGATTTTGGCTTGCGGCTGCCTGACGATAGCATAATAGCGGTCGAATGAGATGAGAGTCATGGTCAGGGTGGAGATGATGCCGAAGCAGGTGTTGAAGAAGCCGTTGGCGACGCAGAAGGGCTCCCCAAACATCCACTTGCCATCCTTGCTGAAGAGCATCATGAAGGAGAAGGGTAAACAAAGAACGGCCGTGAGGACATCGGAGAGGGACAGGGACATGATGAACGCGTTAGTGACCGTTCTCAACTGCCTGTGTTTGATTATAACCACCACGACCGCTGAATTACCCAGACTGGACAGTAAGAAGATGGCCAGGAGCAGCAGCGCCTGCGCAGCCACCGCGATGCCCTGGAGAACCGAGTTCCCCTCCGAACTCTTCACTGGGCTGTTGCTGGGCATCTCGCCCGCGGCTGTATAGTTGCTGGCCTGAGTGCTCAGGCTGTTTACAACGGGTTTGATGGTCACAATCTCTAAAATGAAGCCCGAGCCCGACATGTTGTCCACGGTCGCGTTGCTGATGCCGGGGAGATCCATTGGACACGGTTAGGGCGCATCCACGGGGTGGAAGAGAATTCATCCCTTGTCAGTATCTCCCGTGTCCGTATCACAGTAAAAATGAGTATTCGCTACGATGTCACAGATGCTCCCTATGTAGTCCTTTGATGCCATACACCGTGCTTGGAGTAAAGAATGTTCCCCGTGCCCTCCGCTGTTACAGATGATTGACTGTTGATACGAGACGAAACGTCGTTATTCCGCTAGGGGGCGCTTGGAGGCCCAGAAAGCCGATTCACCATTGCGACGCATTTAGATTTCAGGATGTTTTGTGTCTTTTTTGGAGCTATTTTCGCCCTAATTTGTTTAGTATTTTCAAGTTTTATAATATCATTAATTAATATCGGAAATGCAAATGTAAATCTCCCATAGCTTAGTCCATAAATTTATTATTTAAAATTACAAATCGAGTGCGCACCAGTGACTGTGATTGGTCCATTCTAACAAGCGCTGAGAAAAGTAACAGGTAGCTTCTGATAAAGCAGCGTTTGCGCTAGCTTCTACACCTGAATGAATTAAATTCTCCGATGAATAAAAAAAAATAGTTTTGAGATGATTTGTCAATAACTTATTAGCTATGCCTACTGTTTCTGCCTCATAAACATATAAACGTTTGCTAGTCAGCCTAAGTGAATTCAAGTAGGCTACACAACTGATTGATTCACTCTGAATAGTGCTGTAAAAACTAGCAGATATCACGTGACACGCGACCTCGAATTTTTTTTACGCTTCAATACTACTGACATGGTGAAACTTTAATAGCCAGTGAATTAAAATGTGTGTTTGTCAGCCCATTGCAGCTGACCAACATCCGCGCTGCTGAGGCCCGCCCATTTTTAGATACCGTTTTAATGCAATCGCCGCTCTACATGCTTATTTTATTTCTGTGATACAGATGCAGGCCCCTGCACCTCCCCATGACGTTTGAAGCCGTTGCCATGACACCGGACCCGATTTTTTCCAGCTGAATTACGCACTTTCTTATGAAGATTGGTTTCATTTATTGTGCTTTGTCCGCACTGATGCAGACCTGCAAACGTTGCCATAAACGCACAATGTACGTTTTGTTTTATGTAATTTATTTTATTACTCATCTATCTATCTATCTATCTATCTATCTATCTATCTATCTATCTATCTATCTCTTTCTCTGTCTAAACAAGCAAAGTCCTTCTTTGCTAATGATTAGATGCTATGGTGGTGCATACTGTATATAAACAATAGACCTGAATGATTGTCATATCATATTTTATGTATTTATATACCATTTACAGTATATACTGCTATTATATAGCAGACACTGTAAATCTGGCCAGTGAGTGGCGCTGTGAAAGATTCAATTTTAGCAACGCGTTCCACATCACACGAAGAAGACGGAGGCGTTTAATTTTACGGTTTCTGTTACGTCGTTTTGAACATACAGCTTGAAATAAACTAATCCAATAAACTGAGCGATTTAATATTTTGTAATGCTGCATATGACATGGGTATGTTAAAACGATCATGAATAATTGCAATCAGCAAATGACAATTTATAATTCATCCATATTTGCTTTCTTGCTGTTGATAGAGTCGCTAGTTAGTTTACTGCCATGACAGCACAATTCAAATGTTTTATATAGAATTTAAGGATGTTACGATTTTTAATGATGTTTTTCTGGGTGCAATGCAGCTGTAGCAATGAGCTCCACTTGTCCTGGGCTGTACTGTGGAAGGACCATCATAAATGACTCTTTTGAAGGAGAATGTGGGGTAAGCGCCTCTTTTTACATTAGTCGGTCCAAATAAAACACACACAAATTGTTTAATGGACGATTACAATGTGTACTAATGCAAAAGCTCATATGTACAGTATAACAGCACGATTATGTGAATTTTACTAGTTCACAGTTGTTTATTTCAATTTACATTGAGGTTTTATTTGTTAACATTAGTTAACATGAACACGAATAAACCTTTACAGCATTTATTAATTTTGGTCCATATTAATTTAAGCATATACTAATGTTTTTTTAATCAGATGTTGAATCTGTTAACATTAGTTAATGCAAATTAACTTATTATAACAAATTAGACCTTATTATTATACGTTTACTTTTAGTTCTACACATATGAGAACTACTGTCAGTTGCACTCTTTAAAATAAAGGCTCTGTATAGGTGTATGATTCCATGAAGCACCTGATGGTTCTTTTAAAAAGGTTCTTCAATAGCATTGTTGCAAAAACCCCCTTTTGTAAGCTTATATTTTTAAGAGTGTAATGCAACAGTAATCGCCTGGTCATTCGAGAACAGTTCTGCTTGTTCTGATGTATGATTGGAGAGTTGGTGGTGTTTTGTGTACTGGATTTAATATTTTGGAGTTATTTTGGGGTTTAATAATAACCTTCATCACTCTTATTATCAAGGTTTGTCCTCGTGGCCAGAGAACTAACTATGAAAAGATATGTGAGGAATGCAGCGGATCTCCTGAGCTGTATGACTGGCTGTACCTGGGCTTCATGGCGATGCTGCCTCTGGTCCTGCACTGGTTCTTTATTGAGTGGTTTTCTGGGAAGAAAAGGTAGCCGGCAGAATTTCTTGTTCTAAACAATAGGATGATATATGTGGCAATATTATTGCGCTTATCTGATTAGTTTGTGTTTTGTTTTGCAATATTAACTCTCAAAGTGATAGTTCACCCAAAAATGAAAACTGTGTCATCATTTACTCGCCTTTCCACACCTTTATGCTTTTCTTTCTTCAGGGTTTCTGCAGGTTTTATGAAGGTAAATTTAAGACCAAGTAAAGAAAATGTAAGGAATCAATACGGTCTCTAAATGTAAATGTCTTGTAGCAATTCATTAGAATATGGAAATAACCTTTGCTGCAAAAAAGTGATAAATATTTACTTGAGAAGCAAAATGACAAAATAAGAAGTCTTGTTTTCTGAAAAATTGAACAAAATGAAGTGAGTTTGTGATTAAAACAAGAACAAATATCTGCTAATGGGCTCAGAAGAATCCACTTAGGCCCAATCCCAATTCTATTTTATACCCCTTCCCCTTCCCCTCCGCCTACCCCTTCCCCTTGTCCCTTGAAACAGAGTGTCAAGGGGTAGGGGTGAAAATATCCCCCTAAGAATTGGGACACCACTACTATGCCGTCACACGTCATCATACATCATCATACGTCGTCTAGCTCCTACAATACACACACCTATGCTGGTGTGCTGGTGTGCATTAGAGCTTTTAATTACCGTTCTATATTAATGCGCTGCTTACTGACACACACACACACACAAACACAAACATATATTGGAGATCGCATAGCTCACACATCCAGGAGAAAAGAAACTTATCAACGCTGCCCCACGACTTTTATTAATAACAGTTTAAATACTGAAAATACATTATATTTTCGAGCAACGAGAGGATAAAATCGCTGTTTTTTTAAGTAAACTCACTCTAAAAAGAGAAACGCGCATACACGCAACTTTCATCTCTCTTCGTTTGAAGGGCTGTCTGGCCCTTCCCCTACCCCTACCCCTCCAACCAAAAGAGAATTGAGACACCCCTACCCCTTCACGTGAACGCGCGAAACGGAGGGGTGAGGGAAAGGGGAAGGGCTAAGGGGTAGAATTGGGATTGGGCCTTAATTTACAGGGAAAACAAGTTTTCATACCCCGTTGACATGTTTGCTCTTGTAATACGCATAAACTTGATTAATTTTGTTTAGTTTCTCAGAAAACAAGACTTTTCATCTCAAGCAAATGCATTTTTAGATATTTGTATTGGCAAACAGAACAAAAATACTGAGGAAGATTATTATTTTTCTTTATTTTTTTGTAGCGCATGCAACATTTAATGCCATAGCTTTATGAATTTAAGCGTTTCAGCTGTGATTTATGACCTTTTTATGCCTTAATTTGTGGAAGGGGGACTCACAGAAATCACGTTTCTCTTGAGAAGCATGGTATGAAGAATGTTTGCAATCAAACAGTTTCTGTTCTCGTTGACTTCCATTGCATTTTTTGTTTCATACAATTGAATTATGAAACATTCTTCACAATATCTTCTTTTATGTTCCGCTGAAAAAAGGAGCTCATACAGGTTTGGAATGACATGAGGTTTGACAATGAGATTTCCATTTTTTGGTGGACTGTCCCTTTAAACTTGAATAATGCATTTTTTAAAGTGAGCTTCAAACTAACCTATGCTCTCTTAATATCATCTCCAGTTCTAGTGCCCTTTTCCAGCATATTACCGCTCTGTTTGAGTGCACGGCTGCTGCCATAGTGACTCTGCTTCTCAACGATCCTGTCGGCCAACTGTCTATTCGTTCCTGTGAGGTTAAGGTGCTTTCTGACTGGTACACCATGTTGTACAACCCCAGTCCCGACTACGTCACCACTCTGCACTGCACGCAGGAGGCTGTGTTCCCTCTGTGAGTGGCCTTTGCAAAATGACATTTTATTTGATTTGAGACACCAGTTATTTCTGCTGCTTTCTGATGACCTGTTCTTTTAGGTACACCATCGTGTTGATCTACTACGCCTTCTGTCTGGTTTTTATGATGCTTCTGCGGCCACTTCTGGTTAAAAAGATTGCGTGCGGTTTAGGCAAGACCGATCGTTTCAGGAGCATCTATGCAGCACTGTACTTCTTCCCCATCCTCACTGTCCTGCAGGCAGTTGGAGGAGGACTTCTTTGTGAGTGTCACTCTTTTCTTTTTTAATGAACATTTGAAAGTGTTCCTAGTTGACATCAGTATTATTTTACTATCACTGAGATACTAATATAGATTTTAATAATATCTTGATTCTTTAATTATTTTTATATTTTCTGTTTTAATTTTCTGTTGATTTAAAATTTTAGTCATTTTGTTGTTTTTGTCACTTTGATAAAAAAAAAAAACTTTTTATTTCAGTTTTAGTTATTTAAGTTAAACTAAATGAAAATCAGCAACTAGCTAAAATTAAAATCTGAATTATTTTTGAATTAAAATAAAATTAATTTTAAAGTTAGTAACAGTTTTAGTAGTTTTATTTTTATTAGCTTTTATAAAATTCCTGTATATTTTTTTTTTAATACATTTTACACTGAACAAAATTATAAACGCAACACTTTTGTTTTTGGCTATTTTTTTATTTCAGTTAAAGTTTATTGTCTTTCAAGTAACTTTTTTATGGTTTTAGCTAATTCTAATATCTCTGTTTGACACTTGTATTTCCCTTTCTTATTTCATCAGATTATGCATTTCCATATATTATTTTGGTCTTATCTTTGGTCACGTTGGCAGTTTACATGTCAGCTTCGGAGATACAGGTAAATGCATCGTGTACTGTTTTTTTCCCCCATAATGCCTTTTATTTCATTTTCAAAGACGTGTTAAAACTCTTTGTGACTTATCTCCCACAGTCTTTCAAAAACCTTGTGGCTAAGAAGAAACGCCTCGTGGTTCTCTTCAGCCATTGGCTCCTCCATGCATATGGTATCATTTCCATATCCCGACTGGATAAACTGGGGCAGGATTTGCCGTTGTTGGCTCTGGTGCCTGGACCCGCTCTCTTCTACCTGCTGACGGCCAGGTTCACAGAGCCAAACAGAATTCTGGCAGAGGGTGGGAATGGACACTGATGTCACTTCCTGTGTAGGAGAATCACCTCCCTCAAACTCACGTTAGAGACTTTTAATTGAATGACACCTTTGGCACGAACACCAAAGAGCCATAGTCATTGCTCATGATATAGTATGTTGCCATAAAGTTTTCTTTTAATACTATTTGTTGTTTGCGTGTATTGAACAGAGATCAAATGCAATACTTCATGAAGAATGTTCTTTTCCTAACTGTTTTTCTTTGAATCCTGAAAGCGAATTTTGGAAAGTAGTAGTCGATGTTTTTGTAAATTTATGGTAACTTAAGTATATATGACTCATTTAAGTTTTGGTACTTTTTGTGATTTGTACTTGTTGTCAAGAATAGATACAAATCAACAATTTGTTGTAAATGTACAATGTATTTTTTTTGTGTGAGTGATAAATATGAAACAGCTGGTCTGTGAATTTCCCGAGAGCCCTGAAGTAATGTTAACCATTTTCATATGACAAACTTTGTTGTGCCAAAAAGAATTGTATGTATTTACTCTGTTTTCATGCATGGATAAAAGCTTAACACTATAAAAGGTATGTTGTGACAAATTTGCATGTGGCATTATATGATTGTTTTGCTGCTGAATATGTAAATCTGCATACACATTGTATTGTGAGAATAATTATGTAGTTTTCAATGTTCTCAGACCCTCATCCTCACAACTTGATTAAAGATTTCTCTTATTAAGGATGTATATTTATACGTTCTACAGTGAAGTGTGGAATATAACAAACTGATTAGAGATATTAATGTTTTACAGTTTTATTCAACATGTAGTATATGTTATACATGGTGGTGATTTACATTCATTGCCATCAGATCTATGAAAATGAATGTTTGTCAGCTGTGTTTGACTTGAATAAACTGTGACAGATTTTTCGCATAGATGTGATATAATTAACAAAGATTAATACATGTAGAAAATATTTTGCTCATTGTTAGTTCATGTATTCTAATGCTCACAAATGAAACCTTATTACCCTACTTTCTATAGTCATACATTTTAAAGTATTATAAAATATTTAAAACCTGCTCTTAATTATTGAAGTCTATAAAATAGTTGTTAAATGTCAGAAAATATTGTTCCTTATTAATGTAAAATCTAAGTGTTTTTGAAGTTTGGCTTCTCTAACACGGAGCTCATGCCTACTAACTCTTTCTCCAGTCTGTTGTTGATGTCGCTGATGTGATGTTTTCTTTCTTGAATCCTCACTATGAGATTGTATATGTCCTCCACAATCTTTTGGTCTTGATTTGCAGATTTCTAATGTAAAAGAGTCCAGATTAGTTCATTTATTGTACAGTAACATCTGATAAAGTCCTTCAGCAAAACATCAAGTTCAGAAAAAGGTTTTTAATAGCCACATCAGAAAACATGCAAGTTCATCAGTTTAAAGGAACGTTCCAGATTCACTGCATTAATCTTGATGAATAACATCTGTTGCCAATTACCATGGAAAATATTTTTGCCATCCCTCACTTTACAGGAAATTCTAAAAGCAGGAAGCGCTTCCATTAGACTTCCTCTGTAAGTGCTTTACTCTACACACAGTTTTGTATTTTGTTATAAAAACCGAGAAATAACTGACAGCACTCCACATGTGCTATTGATTGAGATCATTTATATTGAACCAGGAACGTTCCTTAACTGTATTGTGTTTTGAAGTTTTCTTGTACCTCATTAAGCAACATATTTGAATTCCAGGTATCTGTTAGAGTCTCTAGGAATGGAAAAGAGACATTATTGGTTCTGGATCATTATACTAAAAGCAGAATATTTTTAAAATGTTAAAAGTCATTGTCAGAAGACTCACTAAAGAGGGACTGCACTTCCTCGTTCATCCATTCGACCTCTTGCATATACTTTTCCTTGTCTTTCTTTGCATCCAATATTTCCTCCTTCATTTGTTCAATGCGCTGTTGAAAAAAAGAAAACAAAATCACAGTTGAAAACATCTCAAGTGGCATGCTAACAAGTGTCTGTGTGCTGATTAGTGTGAGTTTTCACCACATGCAGGCGACTGTTTTCCACCGTAACTTGCTCCAGCAAAACCTTATTCTCATAGATGCTTTTTTCGACTTCACTGATCACTGCAGCGTTGGCAGTTAACATCTCCATATGCTTGGCCCTCAAAGTCATTAACTCTCTTTTCAGATCTTCCTACAAACATACAAATGGACACTAAAGCCATCAAGTAAATAAGCACATGATTGGAAAATGCTTAGTTAATGTTGACCTTTGGTTGTAGGAGAGCAGCAGTCTGTTTTGTGACCTCCTCAATGGAGACCTCAAGATGTTTTCTTTGGGCTACCAGCTCTGAACATAAAAAAGAAAATCACAAATTTCTTACAAAAAACATTTAGAAGTTCAGGTATCCTACAAATGCCATTGAATTTGCCAATGCGAAACTGTCAAAAACATCTATTTACAGTGCAAAAGTCAATCTCTATTCTTTCTCATTTCAGTTATTTGCAATTATAGAATGACCCAGTTATACATTGTAAATCATATCTCATAAAGAAGCAAACGCTAGCTGAGAAACAACAGGTGGCCAGTTCGTGACTCCATAGTTCAGGTATGGTGCAGTGTTGAGCTACATGAGGAGAATAGAAATGAAGTTTGTACCTGTTATTTGTTTTTTTAAAGTCTGATGTTTGAGGTGGTCAATGTCAAACTGAGACTCCACCGTCTCTAAAATCGACTCCTGGTCCTTGAGCTCCTGCTCTTTCTCCGTATGAGCTTGAGTGATTGATTCTACATCCCTCTTTTGAGACACAAGACATGCATTTTTAGTTTTCAGATGCACGCTTAGCTAAACCACATCCCTCTTGAAATGTTTTATTGAGCTTATAATAAGTGTATGAATATGGATTCTCTCTTTTACTGTAAGATGTTGAATTTCAGCCTGGTAGTTCATTTCCAGTTGTTTTCCCACTTCCTCTAAATTTGCCAGCTCTTCTGCAAGATCCTTTATCACCGAATTCAATAATATATGGTTCTGGAGTTTCTTCTTCTACAAAAACAACAACATGCCTTAGATACAGTGACTTCTCTTTGCATTTCCAGCACTACTGTCTAGTGTTTCTGTCAGACCTCATCAAGCAGCTCTCCATATCTCTTCTCTGTTTGCTCGATGGCTGCATTGATCTCCATTACATACTCCTTGTGTTCCTCTTTAAGGGTTTTGCGAGATTTATCTATTTTCTCTCTCTCAGCTTCAACTGCTGCCCTGGATATAAAAATGTTAATGTGATAATGACCATGTAAACAATGATTTGAGGATGAATAACAATTCTCATTGTGACATATGTAGATCAAGTTAAACTCGTTTTAAACATTATTAATTTATTTTTACATTTAACCACATTTAAACATGAATTAAACCAGCTGAAACTTTATTTGTTAATTTATCTGTTTTATGTATTCTATTATTTCAGTTTTTAATGAATTGATTTTTCTCTCTAAAAATTTAAACTGTATTGTTGTCTTGTTAGCTAAACTGTGCATGATAATAAAAAATACTAATTAATTTATACAATTAATTTATAAAGAAAAAATGCCAATTTCTTAACAAAGAGAAGCTTTATTCAAGATAAACTGCTTGTTTTTTTTCGTGTTTTCAGTACTACGTTTATTTGGGGTATATGAATTTTTCTTTTTTTTAAAAATTATTATTGTGCACAATTTTGTTTCTCAAGTACATTTTGCAGTTTAGTTCCCTGTAGAAGATATATCATAAAAGATTCAAATAAGATGTTGAACAGACCTGCTCATGTTGTGTTTGGCCAACTGACCTTCCAGTTCCTCCAGAGTTTTTTTGAACATATCTGCATTGATTCTGAGAGACAACCACACAGTATGAAACCATTTGCTTGTAATGTAGTAAGACAAAGTCATAAAACAAAAGACAGGGTCATACATGTTAGCGTCGTGAAGCTGTCTCATCTCTTCTTTCATGTTTTTGATTTCAAATCTACATTTGGCAATGGATATAACGTCTTCATCATGTCTCAGTTTATTCTCCTCTAACCTAAAACAAAGGAACACATTGATCACTTGAAATCTAAACATTTCAAGTTAGTCATCGTGATAAAGCAAAGAAGAAAGAGTATTAAAGAGACGAATGTACCGTTTGGACAGACTGTGTTGTTCAGCAATCACGTCATCTTCCTCTTTCCTCTGAGTGCTGAAGATATCTGACAGTTTAGCGAGGGGCTCTGATAAAGCACTTTTCACTTTCTGTTCTTCCTTTATCTCATTTTCAATCTGAGAAGAAATCACAGTTCCTTACAGTGCTAGGTAACGGATTTAGACCCAGATTAAATTTCACCATCATCTCTCGGTGGAAACGAGCCATGAGGGATGGATTAGATCCCCAAAATCAAAAGAATTTAAGATCTGTTACATTAAATATTATACAATGTTAAAATAATAAATTAATATTACGCATTATATTATATATTGAAATATTTTAATATGCATTAAAAAACATATACTTAAAATGTAGGTTTTCTGCATGACATTCAAGCACCTTCCACAAATGTCATTAAAATGTCACTGATATTGAAAACCATCCTGTCCAATTGTTTTATTAAAATCAGAATAAATGAAATTCAGTACAATCAATACTACCCTGAAGTTTAAATAGACATATATAGAATTTCTCTTTCTTTCTTTTTCTTTATGAATGAATGAATGAATAAAAATTTAAATTAAACTGAAAAAATAAAATTAAGTTAAATTAGGGTTATCTCCAAACCTCTACAACACCAGATATAGAAGATTTTCTTCTTCTTCTAGATAGTGGTGTTTTATTCATTATAGTAATACTTTTATTGTTTAAATAACTGAACGAGTTGCAAACTGTTTATTAGTCGACTATACCTTATTTAAGGCTATTCTATTTAGGTTATTGATTAAGAAACTATTTTTATTAAGCAAGCTTCATTCATAATGTTTCCTCTTTTAACCAATATGTAATTTTGCACTGGTAACGGTGTTATTTAGTATTGTTTATATACTATTATAGTATTTATTAATATTTTGAAATAGCTTGTATTTTTATATTTTCAGTTTCATTTTAATATTACCATTTTATTTTATTATTATATTCCAATTTGAATTTATTTTAACACTGACACGTAATCGCCTCCTGTATCTTGCATAACCAGCATCACCTATATACCGTCGGTAGCCTAGATAGATATATGGATAGGTATAGATGTTCATGTATCCAGACCAGGTGCAGATCTATTGACTGCTTGAACTATCTAACATCTAAGGGCAGTCCAGCACTCAGCTGTGTTAAAGGTCATCTATGCACATTGTGTCTTTGAAGGAAAGCATTTTAAAAGCTCAATGTGATGGTGCTCAGCGGTACCGGCCAGAGGCAGGAAATCGATGCTTCAGATCTGACATCTAAAGACAGAGATTTGAGGGTTCTGATCCTGTCCGAAAAGAGTGTATTATGGAGCAGCCATTCGTTTAGTGTCAGGAGTTTCACAAAGATGTCTACATCTACTTACCTCCACCATCTGCTCCTGAAGGACCTGAGCTTTCTGCTCAATTGCTTCTGCCAGTTCAAGAAGTTCACGCTCATGAGACTCCCTGTTGATTATGAATAACAAAAGCTGATTTCTGTTGACCAGAGGTGAAGGAAACAGAACTGCTTGATGTTAAAACCAGTCACTGATTACGTTTGACGATCAAGTTCGTCTTTCTGACTTTTCTCCTCATGAAGCCATTCTTTGTACATAATTTTAGATGCTGCCATTCTTGCAATGTTTTTCTCCATCTGGGATATATGCTGAAACCAGATGAATAAAGTAAGCCATACCAATCGTTCTATGCCAACATTATTGTAATATTGTTTAGACA